AACATCTGTATGTTCATTGATTATACAGCACAGTGATTATAAATCATTGTAGGAAGTGAATAGGAAACTACTATGATGCACATCTTCAGACCACTGGAAAAAATAAAGGTTTTAAACATACAACACGATCGTCAATTTTTTTTTCCCCCTTCCATAAAAACTATATGAGCTATCACACTATTTATTGTGAGTTCTGATTTGTATCATGTCATGACATGAGATGACACAAATAATATTAAGTCACTGTATTTAGTTTAGTATTTAGTATCTACTAGAACTACAGTGGTGATTTCAAGTCAAAGGTGTTGTATGAAGTACATACAAGTGATATTCAGCTTTATTTAAAAAAAAATACAGAACAAATGCACAGTTGTTATCCCGTGAAGCATATCTTACAGTATATGAAAAGCAATATAATTTCCATCAGATTTGAAACTAAGGTAACTAAAAATACTGCTGATTATAATTCTTATTGAAAAAGTGAATAAACAAGCACCATGTTCTTAAATATATGCACTTTGACATTCACAAAAGTTCAAGAACTTTCATTTTGGCTAGAGTACTCAAACAGAAACTTGTGTTTTAAGATGCATCACAGTCATTCTACCGACATTTCAAATGCTCAGCAGCACATCACAGATGTAATCATTACAGCTTACGTGTGAACAAGAAGTTAAAACATATAAACTAACATTTCTTAAAATGAAGCACACATAACTATTCTTAAAGATACATAATGCATATTTCATGCTTTGCTTTCTGTTAATACAAAAGAAAAAAAGCCCTCCTAAACTTTCAAATCCTGACTGCAGCTAAACTTATGTTGCTGAGGGTGGAGTTTGCCTCGTGCAAGACTCAATGGAAACATACAAAGACAACAGAATTTGTCCAACTGATAATAGAAATAACAATTATATATACACATAGCTCTTTGTAATGCATGTCTAGGCACAGAAATCCTTTGGCTTAGCTGATGCTGGAGAACCCAATCTCTAAAATCAAGTAGAAAACAGATCAAGATGTGGTGAGGACACTACATTTTGCTTTGGAAAGGTCCAACTATGAAAAATGCAGAGGTCCTTAAAATATATACCAGAAAGAACTATTAAAGGTACAGGAAATTAAAAACAAATACAAAATCTTACATTATATGGAGTACCACTTGCTGCTTCTGCTTAACACTGAGTAACCCCAGAGCTTTCAGTGAGCATACTGCAATTTGTACAACCTCCTGGCAGGCCTGGGAAGAACCAGGGCCTTACGATAAAATGTGCTTTTAATTTGTTTTTACATAACCAAGTAGCACTTGCTAGACATCATGTGAATTAAATTTCTACTGTTCAGAATGCGCCCCAATGTCAAAGGCTTCTGACAATTAATGATTGCACAGTCCCATGAAGATTTCCTGCACTGTCAGGATCTCACCCAAGCTGGGATGCTTGCAGGACATCTGATCTTGGCACTTATTAAAAATCTCCATGAAAATAGTATGCATTTTATTTCTAAAATAGTTGTATATCCTTCCATAAACTTTGGGAAAAAGGCGGCTAGAATTTTACATTCATCATCTAATAAAATACAGAAATATATATATATATATATATATACATATAAGCTTTACCATATTTTGTTTCTAAATTAATTGTATCATTTAAAGTTTCTGCATGGCATATTCAAGTTCATAAGAATATAGATAAGTAACCCTGTACTGCTAGTAGTGATCTTTATTCTCTGACAGTAGGCAGTATACACAGCCTTAATATAAGGTAACCTAAACACAGTGTGACAGGTTTTGGGAATCTAGCTCATATTTGTTGTGCAGGAAGAAGCATGCTGTTATTAACAGAATAGTTTTGTCCCGGATAACAGACAATGAAATCTCAGAACATTTCCTTTTGCAAAATTAGGACTAGAATTTGGAATACTGCATAAAGGTCACCTTAGGTAATGTGAATTATGCAGAAATGTTTTATAACTGTTATGCCTCCTTATGGGAGAACAAAGATTTACTTGTTCTCTCTTAAATATACTTTGATTTATTTTCCTAAATCTGATAAAAATAATTCCTATATCTAAAGGCATATCCCAAGTGTACCAATGCAAATATAGATTTTCAAGGATTTATTTCCATAAAGCAAAAAAAGCTACCTCCATTAATATATATATATTAATACATACCATCATTATTTGCACAGAAGAATTTACAGTACCAACAACTATGAGTATGTTAAAAAATAACAGTTTAGTTCCAATGGACTTGTGCTTTCAGCTGCTCTCTTGGCAAATATAGCAAACACGAGAACAAAATTGGGCCTTGTTTCACACATGCTCCCTGCATAAGAAGCAGCATGGCTGTCCTTCACAGGGCCTGCTCCACTAACATCCCAGAAAAGCATCTGGAATTTCAAGATTACACATACAAATGCACATCAAAATTAGCATGAATATCTCACTTCTGGCTTACAGTGTTCTTAGCCATGGATTATTAATGGCATTAACTATACACTCATATAAAAAAGCTTTGTGCAGTCAAAGCAACTGAGAATACCCAATGATTTTCCTTTGTTTTATATCTCGTTAGTTAACTGGATAGTTCCTCTGCTGCAGCTGCTCCCAGTCTTCCTCACAGCATTTGTAACAATCACATTATTTTCATATAATTAACTACTGTAACTATGGGGGACTAATAATACAATAATGAGGGGAAAAACACTATGTACAAAATACATATATGCTGAAAAATTTCTCTCGTTTATCTCCAAAAGCCTTAGCTAGTGCTGACTTTAGTCATAAGTTCCTTACATTGACAGTCTCCCTTCAAAGAAAATTCCAGTGCAATATAGAAATTACTCTAATCAGTACATCAAAATCACTATGGGCTAATGTCAGATCGATGCAAGCATATAGACAGGCAGGCACACATTCGTTCTATATGATGGTGCTGGGAGGGAATGGGATCTTTCTTGCACATCACAGAACAGCCACAGTTTGCAACCCAGGAGCCTGACTTGCCTGCTCTGTGGCACCAGCATCTTTAGAAAAAAGTCTCTGCTTCCCACACACCAAGATGTGTAAAGAATTTAAAAGAGCTGTCTTCCATTGTAGGCTTGTAAAAATACTGTGCAAAAGGTTCAACTGAGCACTGCAGGCTTGTCCTAACAGCAGGACAAAATTGCAACTGGAAAGGACGGATAAGGATGCCCTCTTAAAAATAGCCACTGAAGAAGTTGTGCTCTTGACAGAGTAGTTACAAATCAGGAAAAGCATCAGTATTTCTACTTCAAACACCAATGGTATCGAAAACATTCTTTTATCTTTTTTTAATAAAACATTTGTTTCAGTCTGTCAAGATTACCTCACTGGAGCCTAAAAAGTCATAAATATCTTCTGTTTTAAACAAGAACACATAGTTCTTTTGTCACTTTTTTGTAACAATGGGCCCCTGTTGAGAAATACAATTCCAATGGCAGATCCAACCGACACAGACGGCTCTTCCTTTCATTGAAGAAAGGTTCTGAAACTTATCAATTGCTCCAAGCACTGTTCTAAGCACTGAAGATTACTATCTAGTTCTTTCAACAGAACACTTTACACAGACTATAATTTACTTGTATTACTCTACTAGGACATTTTAGTGTTTCTTTAACAACATCTTGTAAAACAAACTGCGCAAAGAAGTGGCTATAACTTATCGGTATTAGGATGGAGTATGATACATTAAGAAACAGGACTGCATTGTCACTTATTCTACAGTTTCTCTTTATCCTCTGTTTCATCCATTTTTAGGGACCACCAGACTTTAGAACAATGGTCCTTAGGACAACAGCTGCACATGCTGGAACATCATTTAAAAGCTAGGTGGTTTTCCTGTTGTGTACTCATTATCCTGTACTTTGAAAGAAAAACACAGGCACCTACAAGTGCTCTGCTTTGGTCTTCTAGCAAATCTTTTCTGGTGATTTCCTCTGGATTGCTATAAATCCAGGAATATGCCACAGAAGACAAATAGTGGTGAAGATCTTTTCAGATTGCTGCTCCTTGAGCTGAGCAGCCAGCAGAGGCCACTAGTGCAACTAGTACAAATCCCTGCCAAATCACCGGTGCTGCAAAAAATGCTCTCCTCCCAGTTCAAACTGGGAAGAAAGGCACCAGGCTTTAAACTACAAACTTATTCTTCTATGGGGTATCAGCACATTCCAAGATTCTCTATCAAGAAGCACTCTTCTTTCTGCCTTCTACGTTTAGGCTTACAACAACAAAACTCATTTTCAGTTTAAAAAGCAAGAAACAGAGACAGAAGCAGCTTAACTGGTCTGCTTTTTTTTCTTTTTTTTTTTTTTTTTTTCAATTCCAGCTATTATAAAAAGGTGCTTTTCACTGTCAACCAACATCATTCTGACAGGATATAAAATGTTTTGTAGCTAACAACGGAGATTAATACCAATGATTATTACTGGCAATATTATGCTTCAGATTAAAACTTTCCATGACAAAGTACAAAAGTAGAAAACAATTCTCTTGTACTTTAGAGAAGTTATTTTTATAAGTGACTTCTTGCAAAATAATTTCCTATTGTGGAATCCTTCAAGGGATTGAAGACTATTATTCACTGAGAAAAATTGTTAAAATGTCTGGGTGCCCTTCTTAAGTAATGTGACTTTTATGTTGAAAGAACAGTGTCCATTTTCACTATCTTTAAAACAATGGTTCACACAACACTATTGCAGTTATTTGGTTCTTTGCATACATAAGTTAGCATTTAGACAGCCTACTCACATGAATGGATTTGTAGGTTTAGATTTGGCTCACAAAAAATTGTTGTCCTAACATATTTTTATGACTTGGTGAAGTACTGAAATACTACTTTGAAAAGCACTCCTTCCAAAGCCTGGGTTTGGTGTTTTTTTTCAGCTCCCCTTCTATCTAAAAAGAAGGTAGGGATTTGGGGCATAATTTTTCTGAAGAGAAGTTTTTTCAGAAAACAACATAATCCCTCTATTTTATATAAAGAGCATCTCTGAAGTGAAAAGAATTCATGTAAGACAGAAGTGAAAATCCTGAACAGCATTTAGAGGGAAATAAAGCCTTTAAAGGATCTTCTCTATTTCAGTTCTTAATGGCTACTAATTAGTAAGGGTAAGCAATTCTTTCTTTACTATTTTTATATAAATTCACGATCTTCTACTTTTTGCAAAGCATCAGGTCTGTCAATTTATCATTTGTTTCGGAAATATTTTCCAGGGTATCTTCAATTTTTCTCCCATGAGATTTCTGTAGCAACAAAAAATAGTACCTGGTATTTTACTACTGATTTAGTTGCATTGTTATTTGGGACACCAGACCATGTAACAGAAATAAGGAGGACATGTAAAAGGCACTGTGTTCACAATGCAGTGTAAAATATTCTGAACTTCTTGCAAGTGTTCTTCATATTTTGTAATTGCCAGCAACTTTGTACATCAGTTCAAACAATACATCCAGATTTCTGCTTGCAAAAGAGTACTTCTCTTGTTTGTTTGTTTCATTTAAATATTAACTTCCATGCTGTCAGTTCTGAAATGACGAAGATGGATTAGCAGCTTATCCAAAGCATCAGTCAGGCCTTGTAGTAAACACTTTCAAGAGGAACAATGTTGGTAGAAAGCTTTTGAAATTTCAGTCCACAAGTAAAATATCAATTAAAGGTTTAAAAGACTTGATTGTTTACATAAATTAACATTCACTTGTCCTTTCACGTGCAAGAAATTTATCGCTTTCATTTGCACTTTCAGGTTCATCCATTTCTTCCACAGGGTTCTTTTCTTGCAACCCACTATTTTCCGAACAAGAATCTTCATCTCCATCACTGTGATGACCTTCAAGACTGTGCCTGATGCCATAAGTAAAATAAATAATGAAGCCTTTCAAAAGGAAAAGGGGAAAAAAAAAAAAAAAGAAAAAGTTAATAAAGTTAAGTTGCCTAAAGTTTTTAGGCAAGTAATGCATCAAAAAGTCATTATTTTTTACTGTCTGGCTGAGCAAATTTTCCAAAGCCAGGTATTAAAATGATAGCTCAACCTTCAGGTCTTCCCTCTTTGTACAGGAAACGGAGGTGCTAAATTCCAATGCATCATTTTTGCATAACTGGTTGTTCTAACAGAATCACAGAATTATAAAAAGATTTCAGCACATATTTAGCTAAGTAGACAAGAAATAAATGTATGGTAACTTACTGGAATTAGTTCTACAACTTTGATTCTTCCTATTACCTCTATTTTTACTATTTTTACAGTTTTGGCCATGCATACATATCCCTTCTAAAGCGTGATTTACTTTTTTAACTAGAAATACTAGACGATTTTACTAAAACATAGACTTTTGTTCCAACGTTTAAAGGCAAATTATCTAAGACAGGATTCATCAGTCCTAACAAAGGAGGAGATTTAAATGAGCAGATGTACTTACCAAGTGCCATCCAGATGCTAAACCTGATCCAAGTGTCTGCACTTAATTGTACCATTAGATAAATATTTACCAGGATACTGAGTGATGGTAAAAATGGCAATAATGGAACCTAGAGGGAAATATTTAAAATATTCATAATATTAAATATCATTTCTTGCATATATCAACTACTTATGTCATACTTGAGTTATACAACATGAGCTAGGGGTGACAAATCTCACTAAAAAAGAATTGCAACATTTTCTTACTGAAGTATATTAAAATTTTCTTTTTCAGTATTTAATGATGAATTTCTACATATCTTAAACATTTAAAGTAATTTATGTTTAAAATATGTTCTCTAAAGCTGTGAAGACAATCTTTCAACGCATACTAATGAAGTCCTGAACGTACAGCTGAAAAGTATTATTTCCATCTTTATAGATGTATCCCTTTTTTTCCAAATTGACTCCTTATTTCCATCAAATTCTTTTATTTTCATCACCGTGATTCACTGTTTCCACTATGTAGTTCCTTAACTAACTGAGCTTAGAACACGAGTGAAAGCTCAAAATGAAAGGCCATACTTCAGGGAGGTATGAATTGCACTGTGTTCCAAATCACTGCAAACAATGCAGATAATCTGACTATACACTAGTCAGTTTCTGAATTGTTTTCTAGTGTCTAAGTGTTCAAACTGAGGACTAAAATTGCTTGTGCCTTAACAGTGTGCACTCCAGGCATGTGTCTGAAAGAAAAGCTAGAAATCTGTGTTGTCAGACCCACTAGTTGTAACAGCAACACAACAGATATGCCCTTTTTGTATGGCCACAATTATATATGCATCACACATTCAACCTGTGGGCAGCAAAATCCTTTCCCTAGATCTGAGATCTGGATAAGATCTATACTTGACTGAGCATTGATGCTATGAGCATTCACTACCCTTGCAGTCACAACAAAACCCAAACTGTGATAATAGCAGTGCAGTAATGAAAGACTACCTGAAAAAAGGCTGTCTCTCTCTCTCTCCCTCTGCCCCTCTCCCACTTCCTAGAATATATCCAAACCTCCCATTAGAGCTATTATTTTATTCACCATAAAGGCCACTTTCTGCTGGTTCTGAGGCTGCCTTTGGATGAGCAGAATGGTAATTATGAAGAACACCACCAATGCAGCAAGAAGGCCAGTACTCCAGGGCTCCAAGTTAGCAATGAAATGAATCCCATATGTAGCGAGAGCACTCAAGCCACAAACCAAGAAAGCTGTGTGAAAAACAAAATGATGGAAATAGCATTGAAGAGGAGGTGACTTTTAAGAAGAATGATAGTGGAACTTCAGTATGAAATGCTATGAAAATGATCAAGTAATGGAAAATACACGAGATTGCAGATTAATTCCATCATGAAATATAAGAGCATTATCCAGAATGGTGCATTAATGATGACTGAGGAAAGGTATATTATTACTGAATGTTTAATTTTGTCTATAATAAAATTCCATTACTTACATTAATGTTGTATATTACTTACCTAACAGACCCACTAAACAGTTAACAGTAGTTGCAGTCTGTTCTGTAGGTAAACTGGATGGATTAATCAGAGTCTGAAGACTGAAGTGACTCTCCTGTATCATATTTATCTGTGACTCACTTACAGCAGATTCTCTTTCTGATGCAGCCAAGGCTATTTTTTCTGGAGAATATTTGGGTTGCTCATAGGTTAAACTGGGTTGGTACCTGTGCAAAAAAAAACAAGTGGTGTAATAATGAGGTTTACTCTGGGAATTGAAAGAATATGCCTCTAGGAATACATTTAAGTACTAAGTGCTTTGCAGTAGAGATTGAGAATTACCCAATATGTGAGAACATATGATTAGTCACTATCTTATATAAACAAATTATGGCAACTTTTTTGCCATGTTTGTTTGTTTGTCAGTAGTTTTTTAAGCTATATAAATGCACCAGTGGGTCAGATCAATTACCAGTCTTGCACAAATGTGGAGATCTGATGGTCAGCAGCAGGGAGAGGTTAAGGAATTATCTGCAGTGGCAAGTTCATTCTGCTTTGCTTCATGTAAGGGGTCTATTAACTGGTATAAACTGAAATTTTACATCTCTTGTTAGAATGTAAGTGTATTTTTAAAAATACATATTATAGATAAGTCAGTGTGGGATAAAATAGTCTTCTCTTAAGTGGAAATTATTGAAATATTGAATGAATTCAAGCTTTCAAGGCTATAGTATACAAGGCTATTAGCCTTGTATAAGTAACAAAGATTGGCTTTTTAAATTAAAAAGAACAGAATAAATATAGAAATGACCTACAGCTCTCAAGATATTGAAATCATTAAACTGTTTTACAAACAGAAGACATAACATAGTTCTACTGACAATTAATTATTATCTCAACTGATGAGAGCTGGTATTTGTACTGTCTTCTGGGCTACCAGATCTTGAAATGCTTTTCCGGTCTTACTGATTTCTGACAGGACATCACAAAGTGATTATTTTAGCACCTCCATCTTTCACATACAGTCACCACAATGTGATAGGCCCAAGGTACAGCATGGATTGTATTTGTATCAAAATATTATCTCCTGGAAAACAAAAGGTGTCTAGATTTCACATGAAGTTTTGATGTGACTAACTGCTATACTGATATAACAATATATCAGTGTTTATTTGACAGGTAAATGCTTCTCAGCAGTTATTTATATGAACACAGATAGCTCTCAAATGTTTAGTTATAAAGCAAAAAAACATCCACTGTAGGTGTGACTCCTGTTCAGGTAGTGAACAACACAGTGTAAACCACAGTAAAACAGAAAAGTTGTGTTTGACTCACCTAAGAATGAGGACACAGGTTGCCACAAGTGAATAAGCAAGAAGTGTGCCAATAGACATTATGTCCACTAAAGCCTTTAGGTCGAACAGAAATGCCATAATAGCTAGAAAAGAACAGAAAAGAAAATGCAAAATTTGTATGAGGCTTACATACTAAGTCAAGATTTTAAAGTCCGTCACCAGTGTAACTTCAAATTGTTCTACTGAGAACAATATGAGTGAAATCATAGTAATCCTTAAAAACACATTTGAAGTCATAGACAACATACCTAAACCTAATTTCCTACAGTTGGGAATCTCATTCAGATAGATAAGCACACTGCTGGGCCATACAGTCATGCTGCATAATCGAGCAATTTGTATTGGATTTATTTGGACAGAAGTACTTGCATATGTGGCTTGCTGAACAGGGGCCACAATAAAATACATCTTTGTAGAAAAGATTCTGATGCTGTGAAAGAATCTCATAAGAGTTAAGAGATGGCTCCCACTACAAAACAGAGGAACAATGATGTGACCCAGTAAGTATGTAAAATTTCCACTGATTTCAAAATAATCTCCATATAAATTTATGAAGTTGTCTGTAAGAAAACAGATGGGGTTTTTTTTGTGTTTTCTTTTTTTTGTGTGGGTTTTTTTTTTTTTTTTTAATTATCTTACTAAAACCTTCAAGTGGCCTTCAAAAAAGACAGCAAAATCTCACAAGAAATAATATTCATAAGATCACTGAAATAGAAATTTCCATGGTACTCTGAGTAATTATGGCAGACATTTCGTCTATAAAAACTAATGTCACCTTCATCTGGAGATTCTTTTGTGTCTATGCTGACACAACTATGCTCTCTTGCACACAGAGAACTCATTAGAGAAATTAGCACAATTAATTGAAATCAAGTGACACTAAGTGAAAGGCTAGCATTAATTGATACATGGTCAAAAATTCTTAAAGTATTTGCATTTGACTCACTTTATTGAGATATATAAATAATCTAAATATTTTATCTTTTTAATCATCACTAATCTTAAAATAAAAAAATAAAATGTAGCCTTTATATTACTGCACATGCATGCATACACAAACTTTTCTATATTCAGAAAGGCTTATATATAATATCTACTTTATAAATACTTTTAATATATGTGTAGACAGGTGTATCGGTGCACAAAAAAACACAGAAACACACATTCCCCTCTTTTTGGATTCTGACAAAAACATGACTTCAAAAAGCACGATTGCTGTGTTATGGAAGTTCTATTTCATCTGCTAGTGTCCTCTTCCAATGGAGGAAGGAAAATCATCCTGTCTTCTTAAGAGAGGGTGGATGTTCATAAATCCAAGAAGTCATTTATTGTAAGAAGTCATAACTTCATATCTGTAGCAAATTTCTGAATATCTCATGGCTTTAAATTCTCAAAATGTGTAGGTAAGCAAAGCTGAGAAAGAACAGAACCTGCAATAACCAAATATAAAGTAGCTATGTTTAATTTTAAGTTCTAGATTCAAAAGGCTACTTTGTAGCCAAGGTTGTTTTCTTATACACTAGATCAAACTGAAAAATTCTTGTAAGTTTCTGATTAAGAGAATTTAAAAAAAGCTTTTTCACCTCTCTTAATTCTACTCAAGTTCTATGTAATGATGGCAGGCAAATTTACAGTTAAGAACTGTAAATGGGCAGCTAAATATTTTTCAATGTGCAGTTTCAGAATCATGGTTAGGATATGTAAAAAAGTAAGTCACAGTAACAGCATGTGACAACTGACTCAGCTTTAGTCATGAGCTGGTAACTTTAATTGAGGCCAAGCACCAAACAGGCTAGCAGGATAAAGGTTAACATTTCTTAAAGCTATTCATACTAGGATACAAGGATACTAGGATACAAACAATCCATGCTAGGATTTAAGAGGAAAATCAGATAATATGACCTGTTGCACTTATTTTTAACTACCCTGGCAAAACCATTTATGACCACAAGTTATCAAATACGCATTTTTTTTTAAATAGATTAAGCTGTCTTCAGATAAATTATTCATACACCAAATTCCCCACGATGTCTAAAAGCAAGTCCACGTGGCTGCTGTTGCACAGCTAGTCAAGGCTGTACAGCTGTATCAGTTAGTTTACGCGTTAGGTAACATGGCTTTCTTTCTTTCTTTCCCACATAACTGCACTACCAAATTATTATAGAGGAAAAAGTCAGTAACATAAATTAAAAGTCAAAACAGAATGTTTCAGTCTTAGTTCTGAACTCACTTTAAATCAGTGTTAACCAGGTTGCTAAATTGTTATAAGCCATGTCTTTAATATTTTTGTTTTAAGGCATTTATTTGCCTTGAAGGTAAATACATCCAGTGCTTCCAGTTTCTTAGATAATCAGACATCCCTCCAAAATAACACAATGAAACTTGGGCAGTGCCACTTCAGGAAGTATAGACAAAAATGAAACAGCTGTGTGTTAAAAATTTCTCTTTGTAAAACTAATATAGCAGTTGGCAGCAGCTCCCAAAATGCTGTTTTGCTAAAATGTATGGGTGTGTATACATATATATATATACACACACAAATATATACATATATTTATATACATAAATAAATATATATATATATATATGCATAAACACATAACTTCCCGAGCACCCAGAAAAACACATACCCTTCAACTCTAACTTGGTAAGCTTGTACCAAAATAGAACTGGTTTTCTTTAGAAGACCGTGAAAATAAAATCTGTGCATGTATTTCACACAAAAGCTGATCCCACTGCAAATACAGATTTTTTTTTCTCATGTCCCATAATAAAAAACTTGATAACTGCTTTCCCATTACAGATGTGGTACATATATCTATGTTCATTGGACAAGAAAACCCTATGAGGAGAGGAGAGCCTAAGGGACTCAGATCAAGTAAGAAGCTTATTCACAGTACAAGAAGTTAATATTAAAAAAATAAATAAATAAATAAAATAACTTTGAATTCTGTGACATTAAAGACACTACCACCATCAGGATTGGTATGATTTAGAGTTCTTACACCTTTTGATTTAATTCCCATCTTACATGCACGGGAAGTTAACAAGCAGCCCTTTTTCAAAAATACAAATTACCATGCACGTGCACAGAGTGTTCAAATCTCAGTTTTAAGAAATATGGGCTTTGAGAGCTTACCAGAGATGACCCCTGCTGTCAAGGTGGCAAAAACTGGTGCCTGCCTCTTACTCACTTTGGCAAGAAAACTAAAGAGTAAACCATCGCGTGCCATGGCAAACAGAATTCGGGGCAAAGGGAACATAGAGCCGAGAAGACTAGAACAGAAAAATGTATAGTTCAAATACAGGTTATTAAAAGCACAGTGCTTTACTGGTAAACCCAACTACATGAAAAGAATGCTTGGAAGAGTTAATGGGTTCTGCTTCAGTTTTGGTTTAGGCTCTGTGTTGCTGCTCTCGGTTTTCTGTTTGATTGATAAGTGTTGTTCTATGCTTTGTCGATTATTTTGAACCTAAGCTTTGAAGGCTCTTGAGATTAGCAAGCAAATACAAAATCTGTGGTAAAGAAAAGTTTCACTAGTAGCCTACTTTACCTGGTGACAGTTATATTGGATCAGTGAAAAGCAAATCAATTTCCACATATGCAACACATTTAGCAGTGCACCTTTCTTTACAAGGATCAACTCTTAGTCTCACCTGCTACTGCACCAGACGATAGAGTAGCAACTAGTGGGGTCCTCGTTTTGGAATTGATTTGAGCTAGACATTTGAAAAGCAACCCATCCTTCGCCATAGCATAGATTACACGTGGCATTGGGAAAATGGATCCAAGAAGACTGAGAAAAAAGCGAACACATGCAACATAGCAAACACAGTTCATGCAGAGCTGTACCATGGAATAGATAAACAATGCTAATTAATGGCATGTACATAAACTTATGATCATAAGACAGCAGAGTTGTATCATGGAAAAGGTAAACAATGTTAATTACTGTCATGTACAGAATCTTATGATCATAAGACAAAATCAGAAAGCCCCATAGCCGAAGATACTACAGATCAGACAGAAATAGAAATGTCTTTTTTTTCCCATAAAGCTAATAGCTGTTTTTTTTTTGTTTGTATGTTTGTTTGATTATTTTTAATTTAGGAATTGGAATTTCTTCATTAGAGAGAATTCGGGTTAGCAAAATAACTCGTCATCACTGTAGTTCTTGGGTATTAGTGGACCAGGAACATATTCCAGGTCACACTAACTGCAGTTAAGCTTGAGTATTCTTCAAAAAAGTCTGTCAGTCAGCAGCAGCAATTCAATAGGTATTAGCAGCATCTTTTAGGCTTCGCATTTCCATGTGAGGCTGCTGATTAACAGTAATTCAAAGTAAGCACCAACAGTTACAGCTGAGCACATTGTCCCTTTCCATTAAAGCTCCTCAAGCCAAGCTTCACTGAGATTGTTTCCTTTATGGGAAGAGTAATTATTTTAGATTTGTTATTAGCAGCACACAGAAAGCTTTTAAACTTTAACTCAATTAGTCAATAACTCAAAGCTCTTTTTAAACAGGCTTCTTACATTAGATGGTTTCTTTCCCTCCAAATTAAATAATCATAATTACGAAAACAAAAAAACTTTGAAAGGACAAAAGGCAAATTCATAGCCAGTACAACCTTTGCAGCAGCATACTAGCATTTAACCAGCTGAATGGTTGCCTTAGGTACTTCAGGATGTCAACTAAACCACTTAAAGAAGGCTCAGATTTTACATACCACAGATGCTAAGTACCTCTGGTAATGCTCATGAGACACGAGCATTAAGGTTAGACAAACGTGAGATAATCTCATGCACATTAACTGATGTATAAATGTTCTTTTTGAGAATGAGTGTTTTCTAAATCAGGGCAACAGTTTATTCTTCAAATAAGGATACTATTAAAATCCACAACTGAATTTGTACTGTTCTGACTTTGTACAATGTATTAATCATACTTCTCTTTAAGTGGGTTCACACAAATAATGGAAATACTAATGGAAATGGACATCTTTACCCAAAAGACACAAGTTCACAACATAACATAATTAGCAGTAACTATATGAACTAAAAGTAATGATCTAAATTTTTTTTTGTTAATTATACCTCTAAACTGAAGAATATGATATATGATATGCTTTGATTTGCTCTAAACTGACACAAATCAATACATGAAAGATTAACCTCTCCAAACAAGGAAATATAACACTTCAAAATACACTGGAAACAGACCAGGAATTCAAATTTCTGAAATGATGTTTTACTCTCTTTGTTTTCCAGTATTAGTTTGCACTTATATAAAACTATTTATCAGTATAAAGGAAAATTTGAGTAGAACCCCCAAGTATGACAAGTAGATAGAAAAAAGCTATAATTTCAGAATGAACTGTACAAGTTATATTCTTCAGTCAGCCACATAAGCTTTTATGTCATTCTGAAACTATTTCCTTTTTCCGCCACCTTCTACATCAAAATATTCCCTTCCTTTAAATCATCATCTAGACCCTGTGTGACCATCTTCATCACACTGATGCTCACCAGAGTTATCTCAGAGTACTGTTAGTATTCCTGCTTAAGCAGGTATGCCTTTTTAATTTGTGGAATGTCAGCCCATACTAATATCATTGAAGCTCACTTGGATGATTCCTTAGCTACAAAACCTCAAGTAGAAGACTGGAATTGGCATTTTTCTATCCCTAAATTCAAGCACTAAGCAATATTCTATTCTATGAAAGTATTTGCACATTACAACTAGGCTGTGATATATTTGAACACACGCTTATATATTGTATGCTTTCCCTGATCTTCTTAATTAAAATAACAGGTTACATTCACAGTTTTATAGCAGAAAATAAATTACCCTATTCCCATAGCTAGAATCTACATCTCAAATAATCCTACAAAAATCACAGGAGGGAATGATATCAGAAAACAGATTGGCTATTGAAGAAAAACAGGCAATGAAGATGATAAGGGAAGCTAGGTATTTGTCTTATCAATTTTGCCTGCAAATACACAGAGTTTGTAAATTTGTTGATTGATTGAGAATGGCGTGCAAGACAGGACAAAGGCAGTGAAGTATATTTCATCAGTTAACAGAGGTAACTTGCAGGTCATGTGTCTAAAAATACTTATTTTAATAAATAATTTTTGGATAAAAAGTCAAAGAGGTAGAATTCAGTAACAGTAAAGCTTAAACAGAAACATTAACTATTGAAAATATTGTGAAGAAAATCTTAAGACTAAAACATGCTTCTAATATTAATGCTAATCCTCTTCATGAAGTTAGCCTTCTAAACAAACCCTTTAATTTATTTTTAAATGTCTTGTAATATCCATCAGCTTTTGCAAAGCATATCAAAGTCTTTACCTTGTAGACAAAGCACAGAGGGATCCCACTGCTACAACATATTTTGCAGGACCCCATCCAACATATGCAAATGCTACTGGCAGAGGACTTTTCTCATCTAGCAGATAATATGGCATCATAAGAGTCAGTGCAGCTGAAACTCCAAAATAGGCCATGAAGCAAACGAGCAAGGACACCACAATTCCAATGGGTATGGCTTTCTGAGGATTCTTGACCTCTTCCCCTGAAAATAAAAGAAAGAAAACAAAACAAAACAAAACACACACACCAAAAACTGTTATTAGTACATTCATCTTTACAAGATATTATGACAGACAAATGAATATGTTTGAAAACATAAACCCTCAGAATCATATCTACAGAATAAATTTTAAAATCTGCACAAATTAAGATCAGTTATTTTTGTTGCCAGAAATGGCTTAAAAAAAAATAATGTATAATTAATGGACATAAAATATATTCTATATTTAGAATTGTCAAAAACAATAATTTCTAGTTATTTTCCTATAATTTATACATTCTAAGTACTCAAATCATATCATCCATATGTAATTTAGAAGTGATATCAGAAAACTCTTAAAAATTTGCCCCCCCCCCAAAAGCTATCATACACACACATATAAATACTATACCAGTTGTTGCAATGCAGTCAAATCCTACAAAAGCATAAAAACAGGTTGCAGCACCAGCCAGTGTTCCTGTGAAACCATATGGCATAAAGCCACCACTCCCATATATACTTGTCACATTCTTGTAAGATGAAAAATTCCTGTAAATAATAAAAATAGAGCAGAAAAACACATTATTTTTTATTACTGGTAGGTCAAACATATTCATCTTTCTCCCTTGCACTTTACATTACAGCATGAGAAGACACATCCATGTGAAAACTTGTAAGACAAAAATAACAGCAAATGGAATCATACTTGAATCTAATAATTATCATCTTACCCATTTTGCTGTTTGTGGCAGGGCATTAAAATTTCTAATGGTGTAAGAAACACTCGTTGTCGTACTCACCCACTGCAATTAATTCGTGGCTTAAGGATTAGAAGCCAGTAACTTCTCAAATGGCCACAAATCAAAGTCTTAAAATATGACAGCACTTTTTTGGGGGGGAAAATATAAATGAAAAAATAAAAACACTTTCTAAGGGAATAAGAAGTTTATCATTCCCAACAACCAAGCTATCTGTCAATAGATTACCTGCAATAGTACAAAAGCATGTATAACATAGAACTGCTTAGAATATGAGACATTTTTTAAAAGTAATTTAAAAATAATTTTAAGAGTAATTACTCTGTTATTGCAGAAAGGTTTATGAGATATTCTTCACTTATTCTCCAGTTGTCAACATCTCCTTTCACAAAACCAGAAATCATAACAAAGAGTAGGACCAAGATGTTAATAGCCGTGAAAATTTTATTCACCCATGCAGATTCTTTTACTCCAAATGATAACAAACCTATAAAACAAAAACAATGTTTAAACATGAACTGTCATGTACAGTAAAAAAAGTTATTTTCAAGAAGATATATTTGTCAGTACAATTAATAATATTAAAAAAAAACAGCAATAGATTTTATACTTTTAGCACAAATTTAGTAAACTGACAGCCTGGCAACAGATGAGTGTATTGGAAACCATAAAACTGCAACCTTCTTTCACTGTACTCCTGAAGTATTTACAAGTATTTTGAGCAATTGTTAATGCTTTTCTGGGATTCTAGTTCACATCTCTATATTATGCAATGGAAAAAGCTAATTAACAAATCCTTTAGAATAAATGCATGCCTCCAGTTCGTATGCATCTCTGATTTACAGAGATACTATTAAAAAAGTATAATACAAAATATGCTTGCCTTGAGTTCCAGACTAGTCCATTTAAATGATAGGAAAGTTATTTCATCAGGATCTGATTGTCCAACAACTGTGAGCATACTAAGATTTTAATGGAATAACAGCTAGAAAGCAGATCAGGAGAAAATGAATAGAGTGGGAAAGTCTCTCTGGCTTCTCTAATTGCCACTAACATCACATACATGCTTTCCCTCATTAATTAGAGATTAACACAGAAAATTATAAGCCTCTCAAGATAAAGTCTAAAAAATTTCTGACTCTGCTAATGAGATGCTTTCTATCTCATCACAGCACAGAAGTTATCATAGAAGCTGCTCAAGTTTTCTGCATCAGTGTTATTTTGGCTACAATTTCTGGAGGTATGGGTGTTGAGTCACCTTGGGAATCTGTACACTGCAATGTAACTCAGCATAGATGCATTTTAAATCTAAATGAATTTTGTCTTTTAAGTAACATAGTTCTCAAATGCTTTCCAGTTAGAGACTTAAGCAATTCCTCCTTTTTTTTTTTTTTTTTTTTTTTTTTTTTTATCTTTTTACTCTTTTCTTCTCATAAATCAAACAAAACCAAAAACCAGATGAAAGAAATTAACTGAAGATACAAGTACAACCACAAATTAAGGCTTCCTATGTTACTCTACTACTCCTCTTTCCTGTACAGGGACTTATTAAAAGCTTAAGGTCCCTTTTAGCTTTTAAAAGCTAAAGATGCACTGGTCACTCATTGTAGCATCAGGAGCTCAACAGAAATGTTTTCCCCAATAATGAGTCCAAAAACACTTGCAGCAGAATAAGAGGGTAAGTATTTACATACACATCAGTTCAACTTTCTAGAGAAGAAAAACTCTTGCTTTTATGAGATCTAAAGAGAGTCTGAACACAACTAATATTTGGGATGTGTAAAAGCTCTAGCGAACAATTTTAGTTGAAAAATGAAGTGCTTTGTTTAAAACAAACTATACACTTTAAAACACACATAGCATTTTCTTCATTTAACTTATAGAACATTTACTTTTGGAAAGCAAATGAAAACATGCAAAAAAGTTGCAGTATTTTGGAAATTTCTGATGCCTCAGAAAGTGTATACTTGATATCAGTTCTTATAATTCAAAAATATGACAGAAGATTTTCCTGTATCAATGTGTATCATCGGTTTTATAACACCTACCAATAAGTGATTATTTTATGTTTCATCTTCAAGGAAAGGAGAGTATGCATAATTTTTTTTTTTTTTCATACAAATTTAATTCCCAGAGTCATTTTGTCAATGCATAAATGTTGATCTAAACTGCTCAGATACTATTACTCATTTCTGATATAACACAAATTACAGCTTGGTATTTTTTTGTTTTTGACTATAAGAAGCACTCTGACATTTCAACCATCATAAACGAGATATTTGTCTTTTACCTGACAAGAGCAATATAAGGAATACAGCAAAGAAGTCAGGATACTCTGCCAGACCAGGATAATTCATTTTGAAGTATGTTCTGAAGAAGTGACCAATCTGTTTCCCAAGAAGTTCATCAAAGGTGCCACTCCAGGCTCTTGCTACACTCGATGTACCTTTATAAAATACATGCATATTTACAGTTTTGCATGAATGCAATGAGATACAGTTACCTCTATTGAAAAGGAAATAAAACTAAACATGCTGCTACTTTTAAGCAGAGATTTAAACATCATAGATTTCCACCTGGTTAAATGACAGCATACTGTTCTACAACCAAAATATACAAATCTGTATTTAATTTGTTCCCAAAATATTGCAAAAAATATTTCTATATCATTTATATTTTATGTCCTTTTGGAAGACACTTACTTCAAAAGTCAAAATATTCTGTGTATGTTAAACAATACAAAACAATGGTTTAATAAATAACATGAAGGAAAGATTGTCTACCAGGAAGTAAAGCAAAAAAACACTAGGAAGATATATATATTACTAGAGTTGGTATTTAAGACTAACGCTCTCCTCTGGTAAAGAATGTATGTGACTACAGCTAAATAAAACCTTATTCTTACCACTTTCCTACTAGGAATGCACTACAAAACAACATTCAGGTCTATTGATTTTGAACAGATTTGGGCAACAGTCCTGTAATTAGGTAGACATATACAGATAGGTATGCTTATACACCATAGAGAGGAACATGTACTTCTGGTACAAAACACATTTAAATCAAATTTGTCATCTTTGCCAAAGCACTGACGCAGCTCTTTTAACATCTCCCACATAAGAACTGTTATTATTCAGACCTGGTCAACTTTGTGTTTTATGAGATCGCAACACAGAACATTTAATTAGTATGAGATAACAGTAACAAGTTAGGAACTAAGCATCATGACTTTCTTAAAGGGAAATACTAATGGGAGCGGACTCAGCTAAATGTTTCTGCTGTGCTTTCTACTGACATTATTCTTGCTGATCAATACAGCAGTAAAATCATGTTTACTCTTGTTCATCATCACTTCGACACATCTTGCAAAAACTCTATTTATGAAGGAAGTAACTTAATCAAATGACCTTGGTTATTTGATCCAGCAGGACTGAAAAGCAAGAGTAGCGAAGTGCAGAGACACAAAGAAACAAATCCCTTTCTGATATTTGCTTTCTCAGAAAGCCTCAGTTCCCATGTTTGCTCTTAGGCTTACCTATAACATAGGATAAAATGAGATTCCAACCAGTGATAAAGGCCCACAGTTCACCAACAGCTACGTAAGTATACAAATATGCTGAACCAGTCTTGGGAACACGAGCACCAAACTCAGCATAGCAGAGACCCGCCATCACAGATGCCAGGGCAGCAATGAGGAAGGAAACAACAATGCTAGGTCCAGAATTAGATTTGGCAACTTCTCCAGCAAGGACATAGACACCAGCACCAAGGGTACTTCCAACTCCCAGTGCTATAAGGTCCAGCGTAGATAAGCATCGGCACAACGAGTCCTCAAGACCTTCCCCCTTGACATTCTTCTTACGCACCAGGCACCGAACAAAGGTCAAAGCTGGTCCACAGGGCAACATGGTGGATGGAGAGCTCTGAAACAAAATAAATTATTGCAGTGCATAGCAGGTAGAACGTAACCGTGCAAAACAGCTAAATAAATGCATTTACATGAAGAACTGAAGAACTTTAATTGCACCTATGAATATATTTACACTCCTCTATGATGATGAACAAGCATGCGCTTTTCCCCCACAAGTCATCTGAGGGATTCAGTTATATTTAGCACTTATTTCTCCAGGGGAAAAGAAATAGTTTTGGTTTACTATACTGCTGTAGTAAAAAGAAGAAATTGCTTCTCTTTATCTGTTGATGGCTTCTTCTTAATCATTTCTAAAACAGCACCAGAACAGACGTCTATTAACTCACACATCATTAGGATTTTCGAGATAAGAATCAACATGAACATGAATACAGATTTTAAAGATGTAACACTACAATATCAAGACTATAAACACAAAAAGCTTTAAAATACAGCATTCTGACGCAGTCAATGCAATGTCCTTTAGGATATTCCCTTTTGGATTCAAATAATATGGCTTTTGCCCCTAGAATTCACTTTGGTAAAAACTGCTTGAAAGATTAAAGCATTGTTTCTACTCCCTCTCACATCATCTAAGTTTCCCAGAACCAATTATTTTTAAGAGATGTATATATAACTCTCCCTGGTAAGCTTCTAACAAGAACAGATAGGTAAGGAGAGTTTGGTAAGAATTAAGTGAAGCTATCTGCAATTTCCTGAGACTTGTTGCAATCCATATCATGATTATCTACGTTGTGCTCATGATTTGTTTAGTGCAACCCTCCTAAGTGCAGGAACTGTTTTTCATTTAGACAAGTGTATTCTGCTCATATATTCCTCCATATCTGTATCAGTCTTCTGAATCAGTAATAGGCATTTCTACTCATCACTAACAGCAATGATTTTCCATCAAGAGGGATGTCTTACTATGGCAGTATTTGCTCCTGGAACAAGAATTCAGAGGCAAAAAAATGCCATTCCGAATGACTGCCTGAAAAAAAAAAAACACCCTTGGATATTAAGGAGAGAGAAATCTGAGCAGAAACATTTTCCTCCTCTTCCTGTAACTCCCCCAGGTACACTGTCATGCTGCTTTAGTCTTTAAAGAGACTCATTAAGTCTCCACTCAACTTTCAGAGGAAAGGAAGTTGGAATTATAGTGAACAGACCTGAATAGCCCAGGCAGATATTTAATGCTCATTAGAAAGGTGATGGCTGTCCCAGGACTGAGCAAAGGAGGTGTGTCAGGCAAGGTTTTTTTGCTGTTTTAGTTTGGGTTGTTTGTTTTGTTGGTTTTTTTTTTTGAGTGATCTTTTTTCCCCCTGAAATAGATTGTTGATATTTCATTAACGGGAAAAGCTATTCTGGCAGACTTTGTTCTCTGAACATTAAACAATTTCCAAGGCTTTCGTTGTTCAAATGGATCTCAGATTACTCCATTCCTTTGCACTTCACAATAAACCCTGAAGACTGTAAAGTCATCTATCACAGTGGCCAGCTGGGTGCCATTATGGTTTTCTCTGCTGAGAGGCAATCTTTCTGAAAAAATATGTTTGTGGGGTTTTTTTTCTGCTTCTACTTTCTCTGATTCCCGTGGAAGGAGCAGGGGGTGAACTAGGTGATCTCCAGAGGTCCCTTCCAAATCCTATGATTCTTTGTTTCTGAACTTTGTCGACCACAAATCAGTGAGGTGAAACACCTCTTCCGACTCCAACCCACCCTTTAGTCTTCTTTGAAACTGCAGCATGAGCAAAGAAAAGGTAGAAGACACAAACTTCATAGAGACAAAAAAACCCTTCACACACAAAAGATAATATTTTAGGTATATCTGTCCTTTCTTAGCCTTGAAAAACACATATCCTAGATGACCACTGCAATTCTGAATGCTTTACACTGGTTCCTAACTATTTATGTATGGAAAATGAATGTCTGGCTGCTACTTCACAACTTCTGTTGCTGTGCCCCACATACAGAGATCCACCTCAGACATGGCCTCATTTGGATTTGGATGAGACATTGGAAGAGTCCTGTCCAGATCACTTCATACTTGATAGGAAAAACTGATGAGGTTATTTGGTCTCCCCACCAGCCTAAATGGCACAGGTGGTAACAAAGTACCTTCAGAAATCACTGGCAAGTGATTCATCTAAGGTGTCTCCTGTAAGGATATACATTACCCACTTTGGAAGAATAACCTGGGCCCCTAAGGACATATGCTACTGAACAAGCACATCTCACCACAGCACCACAGCTAAAAACACCTCATGCTCAGCCACTAAGCCACAGAAGAAGCAAAAAGGCAATGGCTGGGAGGGCCTTTTGGTGGCAGCATTGTCCTGGACAACCTCACACTGTCTGCAGCCAGGCTCAGAAAGGGCCTTAGTCCTGCTGCACTGAAAACATGTTGGAGCCTCTGCAACTTCTTTACCCCTGCTGCCACCAACTCCAGCCGGGTCCCTCAGGCCTGTCTCCACAAAGCTGAGCAGCTCTGACTTTTCTCAGAGGCTTTCTCACACCTTCAGCTTGATGCTTACAGGCATTTATCTCTAGTAAGACACCTAGTAAGGCTAGAAGCAGATCCAGTCAATTTCTTCTCCTGTTCAAATCTGTGCCAGGCCTGCTTTACAGAGACATTTGTCACAAACAAACATCTTGAAGTCCATTCGTCACTGACCTTGGCAAGATGCCTTTGTTTGAAGCAAACTGAGATGGCAGCTCCTGACTCTGCTCACTCTGGGTCACTGCATTCCTGAAACCTTTCCTGGATTAAGTTTTTCTTTTGCTATAGATTACTCTGTAACACAGAAAATGTCTTCAACAGTCCTCTGAAAAAAGGAGGCCCCAGTTCAACTGCCTGAGATTTGAAAATCAATGCTCGGTCCATATTCAAGCGTCTCCCTTCCCCAAATGCATTCCTAGAAGGAAGTCCACAGCTGTTCATGTCACAGCTTAGAGTTTTTCCCTTTCAACTGCACTACAACAAAGAGATCAACAGGACAGGGGGACCTTGTTTTGACAGGAAGGGAAATTGGATAGACCTAACACAAGGGAAAAAATGGAAAGCTTCTTCATGTCTCATGGACACAGGCAGTACTTGTTGGAGTACCTGAATAACCACAGATTCTTATCCTATCCCCTTCACTCTTTATTATCTTGTTGGTTTCTCTCTACAGTAGCTGCTGACAGAATCTGCTTCTTAATTTCAGTCTTTCCTGATCACAGAACTCCTGGCTGTAAAGCAGACAATTTACCTTATCACTTCTCATCTGAGTGCAATCCCAAGCAGATGAGTTCAGTCTTACAATTCATACCTGGTATGAATTCAGTTGGACAGACAGATGATCAGGAACATTTAGCAGCCATCTGGTGCTAGGCTCTTCTAGCAGCACAAGTTTGGTCTAAAAAAACTTTTATCTACAAACAGTGCAAGGGGCAAAGTCTCCATTTGGAAAGTTTCCGTTAGTCTTTAAAACTGCACTGGATACTTCACAGTCTGCAAAGCCTACACAAACTATCAGCTTTCTACTCCAAAACAAAACACAAATAGATGAATAACAACAGAGTATAAAAGTAACTGCTGTATAAGGTCAGTGTGTGCTGTACCAAACTTTCATTCAAAAGTAACATCTTAATTACTTTAAATAAGTGATTTAAATCAGTACATATCAAATCCAAGCTTCAGATGGAAAAAAAAAAAAAAGCTTTTGATTAAATTACCACTGCACTACTGCTGCAAACCAATATTTTGTACAAAAATTTCCATTAAAGGTTCTAATTAAAAAGGTAAACATTCTCCTACAAACAAGTATTATAAATCCATATAATACCTCTGAAAGTTGTTAGACTGTTACGTATATTTAAAGATTCCTTAAGCAAAAGTAATTTAAAGACGATTTACTTCTAATTTATATTGTTAATCTTCTATTATATACTATAACATAAGTGGTCCAGTAAGGTCCATAAGGTCCAGTAGTTAACACTTTAAACAGCACATAAACGATGAAGCAAATATCCTAGCATGTTTGTAACATTCTCAAAATGCAGAAATATAAATACACAGATTAATTCAGAATCTTTCTTCAGCCTCAGTTTCCTGCAAAAACCTGTAAGCTGTACCAGTTGTATTCCATCTGTAGAATTTAGCAGAAAAAATTGTTTGCAACATTTATTGTTGCAAGACCCTATTCAAAGTTGCAGTGTTGCATTGATCAGATCCAGTGTAATAAAATACGAAAGTAAGAAAAGTCAAAAAGTATGTGTACACTCTATTCATGATTCTACTGCAGCTGCAACTTTTTGATGTCATAAAAGTTGACTTTGTGCCCAAAACAATAAAAGAATTTATATTGTCTTTGAATATTTAAAGTAGTCTATCTAAATAATTCATAAGGCCCAAAAAATTGGGAAGCAGCACCTGTAACAGAATATGCATAAATAGAAAATGAAAAATTTATCATCCAAAACTAGGAACAGATTTCAGCCTGAGAAGGAAGACATAAATCACATATAAGACACTACTTTGCACTCAAAGACATAACAACAATGTAAAGTACACTAAATTTAATACCAAATAGCACAGGTATTGCTATTCAGAAAGCACATGTTAACAGGCAATGTTTTATATGATAAGCATATGATAAGCATGTTTTCAGATTGCTTCTTTGAGCATTACAAACCTTATACAGAGCAACTTCTGCTAGACAATTTTCTGCTTCTCTTTCCCAGTCCTGAACTTCTGTAGTCCTAAATACGTGATTTTACTGAAATATGTGATAAAGCAAACTAAATGTGGTGTGTGAGCTGCTGTGAAGGAGGTGGAGGCTCTGCAGCCCCAGGTGATTGGAGGCCGGGAGCTGGTGAGTGATTTGCCCAGTGCAGGCAGGGAGGGAGAAAGTCTCGCTGCTGTTCAGATGAACCATATCCACTTTCTCAAAATTGTAACATCATGAGGACGCTGCTTTCTCCACTGAAATAACACCTATCTTCCTACATACAAAGCACAATGGTTGCGAAGTCACCCCCCATTCATCCCCAGGGGACTCTTTTTAAATACCCTGAATGAAAAGAAAAATGGGGATGTGTTACTTTGTCCCCCACCGTGAAAAAAGCGTTGGCGTTTGCTGCTCTTGTTACAAATAATTTGACTTTGAAGTCTGTTGAACATTTTGAGCAACATTATGTAATGCTTTGACACCTGAAGCCAACAGTGCAGCATGGAAATAGCTTTTACTGAGTGTATCTTAAAAGAACATCATTAATCTGAAAAATATCACTGTGATTAGAAACAAGACAGAACAGTATCTGTTTACAGAGCCTGGTTAGAGATCATTCTGCTGAACCAGGACACACACTGTATAGCTTCTTCTCCTTTATATGGCTTGAAATGTAAAAATGCTGAAATTAGAATAGTCCAGATATTCTTGTGACACAATCAATAAATAATCCTACTTTCTTAAAAATTATCTTCCATCATAAACTAAACTCCAAGGATAACATACAGCAGTATTTTTACTACTTCCAGTGGCAGATCACCCTACCCCAAACAGGCAGTATGATTTCCAGTCAATATTGTTCACAGTATATTGTTTGTCTTTAAACATTTGTGTTTCAGTATTTCTCTTTTTGTTCAGAGAACATTGAAATGACAACTCTTGCAGAGCAAAGCTCTAAATTCCTCATCATTTAAAAATCTTTGCCATAAAAATACAGAGGAAAAAAAAGGTGCATACTGTGTCAGCCCCTGCGACTTGCTCACAGCTTTCAGCCTGAGTGTAAATCCGCCCCTGCTGAAGGAGCATGGAGGGCTCATATTCTTTTCCCATGAAATGTCCTACTTCCTGTGGTTAAATGTAAGGGACAAGATAACCTTTCCTTATCTCTCTTATGTCCAAAGAGATACACCTCCAAAAAGAGTGTGCTTATTTCAAGAATTCAGATGCCATTTCTTACATTATCTGAGGCTACTCCTTTCTTAAAGTGCTAAAAAATGTAGGTAGAAAAGGTCTTGTTCATGGAAGCTGCAGCAAACAACATCAGTACTCATGCTTTTCCTCATGTTGACCTCCATTCCAGCCACCTCATCCCTTACACTGGAAGACCACAAGCTAGGGACAAGCCAGAAGCTAATCTATCTGCTAATGTAGACAAACAGAGATAGAAAAACATAGATACAGTGTTCTGACCAACAACATTACAGCATGACTTTGGTTGTGGCTTTGGGGAGCTTTGGTCCTGGCATTTTCTGCTCCTTAGCAAATATAAAACTCTTGCATTCATCCTAAGTGCCTCATCCAACATTTCTCTGACTTGTGTACCCTAGGGTTTCTGCAGCAGATTCTTGCCATAAAGAATTTGCTTAGAAATTCTCTTCTTGCTACGAATCAGCTGAGCACAATAGAAGGAATGAACTGAAAGAATTATTTTATTTTCCAACAGAAGGCTCTTTTAGGACTTTCTCTTCTGGGGTCAAAATAATATGAAGTTAATGTCAGAGATTTATGCAGAAATGTATGCCCAGGGATTAAAATAATAATAATTCCAATTCATTTGTGAAACGAAACTCTTGCACTGACTAAATCAAAACGCCGTAGGAGTCCAAATGACAAACTATGCCTGGTTAAAAGCTGCTCTGTTGTTGTCTCTGACTCATCTCACAGATACAGCCTCACAGCTCCAGGCCAAAAAGCCATGCCTTCTTACATAACTGGAGGCATTAGTTCGGCAAAAGCATATCCATGTGCTTGCCCATATGACTACTCATAATGTGTGGAAGTTAAACATGAACAAAAGTGCTGGCAGGACTGGGCTCTAAGTAAACCATTACAATCCCTCAAATAGAAATTTCAAATAGAGCCTGCTACTTCGCCTTGAAAGTCGGGACTTTGGAGCCAACTGTAACAAAGGTGAGTTCTAATATTCCCAAGAAAAGAACAACATGACATGGTTTTAACAGCTTATGCAGTTCCAGCAGGATTTGAGAAGATGTATTAGTATTTGTAAAAGGATTCATCAAGTTCTGGCAGGCATCTTTTCTGTGTCGAAATAATTAAGTAGACAACATCTTGATGTTACCTGCTGGGATGATCCCATATTTAGGAATTCAAGTCAGTCACAGGTGTCTACATGGACAAATGCTTCCGCAGGATGCTTTAAGGAAATTCATTAAATTTCTGGAGTATTAATTCATACAAGTTTTAAAAACGCTAAATCAACCTCCCAGAAACTTCTGAGATTCTTCTAGTGGTTTTAAAATGCCCAGTCGTTTCCTTTCTTGATTCCCACATACTGCAGTGTTCTCCCATTAGAGGCATATCTTATCCATAGTAGATCAAACCTCTGCTAAAAAGCATCTAGTGACTTTTCTAAGACCTTACTGGGAATGTTTCTCTTGCATATACAGAAGCAAGACTGACCAGAATCCAAAATACTAAAGCACTGAACATTTTTTGAGATATTAGTTACTGAAAACTGTTCTCTTCTACTTTTTCATGAGGCTTGTGGAACTCACACCATCTCGAATCAAAGCAAAGAAACCTAAAAATGCATTTATGACATCACTCCAAGACAAATGCCAAATGTGTAATAACATACTAGTGAGCATGTATATTTGTTTATTATGGAAACTTAAGAAGGTAGCAAGCACATTATTTTCTTATTATTTGAATTAACCAACTACAAATTAATAGTCCAGTCCTCCTATGATTGTGTATACATATTTATATATAGAAACTTCAAGAATACATAATCTCTTTCTCAGTCTATTTTGACTTTTTGTCATTGAGGGGATATTTGGGTTTTATTTTAAGATCTTTCAATTAGAAATTTCCAGACGTATCACATTAACAATAATTTCCTATGCTGGAAAATGCCTGCAGAAATGATAATTTCTATAATGTTGTTGTTTTATTTACTATTTTCATCACTAACTGCAGGGACAGCTCATTTTCTCTCACACACGGAGATCTGGTGAAATCCAGTTTTTCAATTTTTTTTCTTCTGAGCCTTGGGAAAGTCCTATAAGTTTATGACTTTTAATTCTACTCACAACGAACACAGATCACCCCAATAAACTTTTAATATGATCTCCTCCCCTTAGTCACTTTCTTCCCTGGCCACTTCTGATGAATCTGAAAGGCATGCCCAATCTCTGAGCAAAAGGTGTCACACAGGTAATTATGAATTCCCTCAGGCGTGCCTCTCTGACTAACAAGTACTGAACATCAGCCAAGAAAAAATAAAGCATATTTAGTTAGAAAATTATCTCATATTTGTTCCTTTACAAAATGTTCACCTCTTTCATCTTTTTTATCATCCATTAATTGAGGTGAAAAAAGATACTTCTCCCCTTATTTGTTTCTATATCACAAACTTCTTCTAAATATACAGAAAAAAAAACAACAAACAAACAGCCTCATCTCCAGTCATGGTGTGAATAAATCAGAGGGAAAATTTCATGAAACACTAGATTCTATTCCAATCTGATTATTCTATGTGCTTAAAAACAAACAAACAAAAAACAAACCAAAAAAAAAAACTTAAAATCAGGCAAAAAATCAGACCCCACAATCTCCAGACACTGCAAATAACTTGCCTAGTTATCACCAAAGAGATTTTTTCATTCTTTCCAAATATTGTATGTGTGTTCATGTGTGTGTATGTTACATGTGTGTGTTCGAGTGCAAACCACAGTATTTCTAGGACTGCTTTTCAGCATCTACTATCCAAAAGGATGGCTTATTTCTGGGTGGCCCAGCCACTTGTTGTTATGGCTGGATCACAATTAGGAATAATTTTGTTCTCCTCCCTTGATTTCTCCTGAGCTCTGGTGGTAATGACAGGAACTTGAGTTCAAAGTGTAGGTGTAGAAGTAGGATCTAGCCACAGACCATTCCTTCCTTGCCTCAGGAGAAGAAAGTGGCCAGCACAGACTCAGTTTTGAAGAGCCAAATCCAGCAAACAGGTTGCTATTTGAAATGCAACGATCTAGGAAGTTATATTAAGGATATTTCATGTCTTCTGGTGCTATAGTTCTATGCACAGCGGAATTTCCGGCTAGAGCAAGAGGCAAAAATCAACCTTGAAGATATGCCATAAGATCCACTTTGAACTATTCAGCTTCTTCTACTGATTTAGTCAGGGATCTATTCCCAAAGCCTGCACATATAGAAGATTACAAAATTAATGAAATCTGATATTTTTCAGCTACTTATAAAAACCTGTCACAGATGACTTCTTGTTGTGTAGCACAGCATTTGCATTTACATTCCCTCTGAATGACAGTAGAGGTTTTAACTCAAGTGAAACTCGCCAGCAGCACTATCAGCCATCCTAACTCACACTTATGATCCTTAAAGATGAAATGGATGCTGACAGACTACAGTCTCTTTTTGACATGATGTAAAGAGATACCTTTGGAAATCCTGAGAGTGAAAGTCTGAAAGAGGAAAGTGGTATTCTTCCAGCAATGTGACATTCCTCATTCTCCCCTATGAGGAAAGGCTGGGTGATGTGGGTCTGTTCAACTTTAAGAAAAGAAGACTGAGAGGGGATCTTATTAATGTTTATAAATATCTTAAATGTGGGAGTCAAACGAACATGGCCAACCTCTTTTCAGCAGTCTGTGGGGACAGGGCAAGGGGAAACAGGGGCAGTTTCTAGATGATCTAGAAGTTCATCTAGGGGCAGAAGTTTCTCTAGGGGCAGAACTAGATGATCTTGTAGGTCCTTTCCAACCTTGCAATTCTATGATTCTATGATTCCATGATTCTATGATTCTATGATAGGAAGTTCTACACCAATATGTGAAGGAACT